CGGAACACAGCCCCACAGCAGCCAGTAGAAAGGGAGGCAGGAATCATCTCACCATTTCAGAGTTTGGATTCATTTCTATTTGCAGGTGTGAATTTAATGCCAGTGAGAATTGCTGGACTGACAGCCCACAAGAGCAACTCATTCTGCTTAGCCACACAGCAAGCACAGTGCAAGCTTACACACCCGTTGCCCCAGCCCTGCCCGGCACAGGAGAGAGTTCAGTCCCAAACCTTGGTCTCATTGCGGCACAGGAAGGCCAGTTAGTGCCAGCTATGATGCCGACACCGGTAGAGCGGGATTTACCCTGACAGTTCAGCATCAGAACAGATGTCAACATATCCAACCCCAGGCGTTACTGGCTGTACCTCTCCCAAAGCAGAGCATTACCTTATCCACTGAAAGGGACTGGTCTGCCCCCCAGGCTGCTCCTCCCCAAACAAGACACCAAAGCAGGATTTCAGGCCTTCCAAGAACACGAGCTGTCCTCGCTCTTTTGCTGCGGTCAGACTGACTCCCTGCAGGAGGCGGAAATATCATCTCACGTAAGCAAACAGCTGCAGAAGAATGATTCCAGTGGGGCCCCAAGCGGAGCTGTGGCCTCTTTGGATACAATCTAATCTAAACATGCTAATAAAACCAATCCCCCACAGGATCTTGCACAGCCCCGGAGCCAGACAGTTCTGTTTCACACATTGCACATCCCATGTTTTGCCTGCAGATAGTCCCAAGGAATGGCCAGAAATAGCAACACCCGCACACTGAGCCTTTCCGTGGCTTTTCAAGTTCACAGAACCTTAAACGCACATTAATGAACTAGGTCCTCTCATCTCCCTGGGGAACCCGCTGGCACCATAGTTGTCTTGCAGCTGAGGAAAGGCAGAGACACAAAATGAGTCACTCAAAGCCAGAATGTGCGGAAAAACCCAGATAAAAATCTAGGCGCACCCATCCACTGAGACAGGCTCTCCTGGGCCCTGTTGCTTCACATGCAAGAACGCTTGCTCTTTGTACCTTCCTAATGCCCGCTCTGCTTTTGGCAGCAGGAGGATCGGGGCATTTTAGAACTAGTTCTGACAACCCAGCCTGATTAGACCTTGGCTCAAGCCATCTCTAAACTTCCCAAGACAGGAGTCTGGGATAGAGAGAAAGGAGGAATGACTGAGAAGGGTGTAAAAATCTCCTTTCACCCAGCACTCAGTATCTGTCCTCTCAGTCAGATGTGCACCATGGAAACTGTGCACTCAGGGAGGGCTCCAGAGACAAGCCAGGAAACCTGAGAGGGAGGCAGCCATTGTGTGCAGCAATGTAACAATCTGGCGTGGTGTTTTGCTGCCCAGCTGGTGCCCCCAGAAGACACTGGTGCCGTCTATTCCCGCAGGGTACGACCCCACCCACGCCCCCGGAGAGAACGAGTCCACACGGCAGATGGGTGCGACCTCGCTGCACCGGGTGTAACAATACGGCTTTTCTGCAGCCACGTGGGAAGGCCAAAGCCGCCTTCTGCAGCCAGGCTGACGAGCAGCAGCCGTTCCTGTAAGGCCTGGAGCCACATCCTCACAGTTCCATCTAAACTGTATTACACAGTGTCACCCCAGGCTGGGAGGAGGGGACTTTGCCCTGACAGCCCCCCACTGTCACCAGATAAAGAAACAGATCTCAAGATGGGGAAAGAAAACTGAAGTCACCCCATTCTGTCTGGCCAGAAACTGCTTCTCCATAGAGAATGTTGTGGAATCCTCATTCTACGAGCATTGTCACTACACTTTTCTATTGTTTGACGGGGTGATCTCTGTCTGGTTTGTAACTATTCCTGTCTGCTGTATAATTAATTTTGCTAGGTGTAAATCAATTAAGATGGTGGGGTACGATTGGTTAGGTCATTCTGTTATGATTGGCTAGTAAAATTAAACTAAAATAATTGGTTACAGTCTAGCTAAGCAAGACTCAGGTTTCATTAGATAAACTGAGGTTCAAGGAGAAGATCTTCAGAAGTAACAGAAGGAAGAAAAGGCTGGAAGAGGACCAGGAGGAGGGGGGAAGACCTGGAAAAGAAGAACTCACCTCGGAGACACAGCCTAAGACCAGAGAGACTGATATTGCCTGGCCAACAGGGGAAGTCTGCCAGCCTTTATCAGGATTGGTGAGCATGACCCTGTGCTTAGCACGTGCATTCTGCTTGTTTGGGAATTGTCAATAAATACAGTATAAGGATATTACTGTGTGAGGTGCTTTCAGTGGCTAAAGATCCTGCAAAACCCACAGGAAAATGTGCCCTGAGCCCTAGGAATTGGGCAAGGGTGGGTGTAAATTCACAGGGCTGCACCTTGAGCCCTAGGAACTGGGGAAAGGCAGGCGGCCCTACAGTGTGGAAGGGAGAGAGACGTTTGAGCGGGTAACAAAGGCCCCGCGGCCGAGCCCGAGCGCGCGGGACCCTGCCCTGAACAGAGCTGCCCTCGCCAGCACCACTGGGCATGTGGCCTGGGTCCCGAGAAGAGCCCCGTGCCAGGATCCCCCGGCAAGCAGAGAGGGAGAGAGACTCCGCGGAGGCCTGGCCCAGAGAGCCCCAAGCCCCAGAAGCCACGCTGGCTGCACTCACTTGCCCCCGATCACGTCCAGGGTGAAGCGCAGGGCTTCCTGCACCGTTTCTGGCTGGCCCTGCAAGAGGGGGGAGACGGGAGTTGGCAGCCCGGCCGGCCACAGC